AGCATCACTGAAGCAATGAGCATGAAACTGAGCAAACTCAGGGAGGCAATGAAGGACAGGAAGGCTGGCGCGATATGGTTCAAGGGGTCACGAAGAGTCGGACATGACTACGAATGAACAACAACAAAAAAAGGAGAAAGTGAAGAGAAGGGTTATATGACCACTGCTTCTCCATCACCACCAGCAGCATTAGTCCTAAATCCCTCTGCACCTCAGTCATTGTAATATATCCTTTTCTCCCATCCCATTGACTTCAGCCACTAGTGTATTTTTACAATCCAAGCATTGTAGCTCTACCCTAACCCAAATGAGCAGATCTGTTGAAGGCATGAACAAGGAATAAATAACAAGGGGGCTTTGTGCCTGCACTACGCAAGATAGTTGGCTTCCTTCCTTGACTATATTTACACCACTAATTAGTACTATTCAGGTCCAAGGTTGTTGACTGGGGTGGCCACCCCAGCTTTGCTTTGTTGCAACAGTCTGAAACTCAGACTGAAGAATGAAGAAATAACTCTGGATGCAGAGGTTTTGTGATTTTTTCCCCAGAAATCACATCAATAGAAGGAAAAAGCCAAGAAGTTAAGCCATAACCCTCCAGAAAGAGAATCCAAACAGGGTTTACAGATCACAAAAACAGACTAATTTATTTTAGAAAAGGTTAAACAGGAAAAGTTTAAACAGAAATATCTGTTTAAGAGAGTGGTATATTTTGAATGGCAAATGGACTATAAATATGCTCATAGAACCAGAATGCAAGAATTGAACTGAATAGGATCTAAATGCAAAATTAAATCCAACTTTTTTATGTACATGAGAAATGGGCAACCTGTGATACTAGGACCATAAACAGCACCTGAAGACTTTATTCTACAGCCTAAAAGGCTTATTCAAGATTATACTTGCAACAATTGATGGCAGTTTCCTATCATTTTGGAATAGGAAACACACAAAAAATAAAACGGAAGCTCTAAAATAAGCTTGCCACAGAAGTCAGGGAGGCTTGCTCTAATCTCAAAAAAATCCAGAAAAAAATGAAAAATCCCAGTCAAAAGTGCATGTATGATTTGCCCATGATATTTGTACCATCACCTGATCTACTTAGTAAGATTCCAACAAAAACCATTATGTAAACTCTTAGCAAACTATGGTTTGCCACCTTTGCAGTAGGATACAAGTGGTTTGGTCTTGCACTATTCTAACAGTTCTAATACGATATTACAAACATGATACAGTAGCAGAGTTAGCATCATTGCATGTATGGATGTAGATTGTGGCTTGTTTCACAACAAGGTTAAACAACCATGTGATTTCTTTCTGGTTTAGCATTACATGTGAATCCATTTGTTTTGGCTTAGGTGATATGCGAGCCAGCTTGCTGCTATAGCTTGCTATACCACCATCCATTATGGACTGGGGATGTAAGCAGTCACTGCTTGATAACTGCACACATGTGCCCATTTTGGGGTTGATACACTGGGAATTTACAATACAGTCACATATAGCAAAATAGACAAGCAAAAGCATGTACTGATAAAGCTACTAGGTATTTATGATGTAGTGCAGAACCCCAAAGTACCTCTAAAGAAAGGAATGGTATTAAAGGTTGCCATAGTCAGGTCCCTTCCAAGGTATGCACCCTATTAAGGATACCTGCCAACTCTTCTTTTAACTGTCTCACTAAATGCCTTGCTTGAGAGAATGCGAGCAAGAGAAGCAGCTGCCAGGAAGTCACCTGTCCTTCTCCTACATAGGAGCATAGATTGGCCTCAGAAGGACTGGGCAAGCAAATGGGTATTAACAGTGAGAAAACAGAGTATATAGGGTGGGGAATCTCCTGAAGACCTCTCACCCAGGAATCCTCCCAAATTTAGCCCCCACATTTAGAGTCCTCTTTAGATCAGAGGAAAACACCCACTACACCTACCTGTTCCTGAAGGAAGAGGTCATTTGCTATGTGCACAATCCGATCCACGTGAATTATACCTCCAATGCTGTTCACATCTATTTCTGACAACAGGGTCAGTACAAGGATGGCCTCCACTAATAATTGTCTATATTCGGGCTGGGGTACGTGGTTCAGCACTGATTCCACATGGACAGCAAACTTAATTTCACATGCAGTCATCTATAAGAAAGTATGTTATTGGTAGGAAAAAAGAGGGGGGGATAAGACTGACAAGCATGACATCTTTGAAACTGAACATCTAAAGCCTTTTATATGTGGTGAGGTCAATGACACCACTTGCAGATAAAGTTAAAAGGCTGAAGATTCTGATTGAAAAAATGACTAGAATTCCTTCTAAAATAATATCTGAATGCTGTCAATGACACTAGAGTTGTGTTGCACTTGAAAGTGCCCTAGACTCCAGGAAGCAGACAAGCCAGTAGGGCTAGGTGATCACCCTCCCATATACCCTAAGCATATACTCCACTGATAGCAGAAGCCTAAGGATGTATATGGTGCTTTTCATGTTGATTTGTAAACATGTTAGAATAAGACTCTGTGTATGTGTGTGTATGTGTCTGTGTGAACAGACAGAGATGCAAATACTGACATATCTTTCTTGAGAAGAGGAAACTGGGAGATTATGGTATTCGCAGAGCACAGATTTGTATACAGTTGCAACTTTAGTTCTAGCAGCTTACTTTTGATGGTGTGAGTGCAATATGCAAGTTTCCCACAGTCCCAGGATAATTGAAAATTGGGTTTATATTAGAATGTGTTCTACCAGAACTTCTGCAAGTGACTCTATTGCAACATCTCTTGTACAAAAAGAGAAGAGGGAAAGGGCTATGAACCATCAGTAGAATTTATATTGGAGCATTTCTGCAAGAAATCAGAAATACTTAAGAAGAGGTCTAAAATTAGTTTATGGGCCCTACATCTATACAGAGAGGAGAAAGGAGAAACAACATCAAAACCAAATACTATGGAGAGGTCTGGCAGAATACTGTCAGAACACTGACAGGTAACCACCTCATCATTGCAAGCAAACCCAAGCAATCTAATTTGTGTCAGAAAAATGCAGAGATGTCACATGGAATCATTTCGTCTCAGGAGTTCTCGGGCTTATTACGTTTCATTCCTATTATAGAACAAAACTGAATCCTGCCAAGTTCTGACAGGCTGTTAAATTGATTCCAGGATTTTCAAACCTTTCCTAATTTATTATCTCCACACAATTACATTACCAAGATAGGAAAGATGCCAACGCACATCCCTGTTTTTAGCCCTTTCTTTGCAAGTGTACAATTAAACTGGCACCCTGGTAGATAAAGGCTGGAAATTGCTTTTGGCCCTTGGTGGATTACTGCTCCACCTAAAGCATGATTAGTTGCAAAAAAAGAGGTAGGGAGACCTCATGCACATTGCTACTCTCTTTGGGAAAGAGGTAATAGACATCTGGGGATGGGGGTGGGTAGGCAGATATACCCCTAGCAAGGAGCTGCTCACTCCTTTTTTTTAAAGTTAAAATGGAGTTACAGAAGAAAGAATATAGAAACTATTTAAAATTCTAAACAGTGACATTGAGCTTGGACGTGCAGAGTCCTGTTTAATGCTTACAAGGCAGGACTGGTGTGACTAGACATAATGCTAATCTCAGACCACTTTGACACCATTAAAAATATATTTTTTAAAAGGGTTGGGCATCAGATTTTTTTTGTGTTAGTGAGAAATTTGAAGGTTATTTAACTTATATGAATTGGTCTTGTCTGGCCATAGCTTTGTTTTGGTTTCAAATCACAGAACACATTCATACAATTTTAGAAATAGATATAATATATATAGATATAGTGTGATGCTAAACTATATTCCTAACATACAGAATTTGTACTTTATGTAAAACTTTGGTTCTACTAAGCTTAAGGCTTGGCAAAGTGGATAATCTAATATAAATGGAAAGATACTTATTCTCCTGATGCTAAGGAACTGATTCAGGATTAGTGTGTGAGATATATATATATATAGATAGATAGATATAGATATAGATATTTATTTTACCTTCTAAAAATGAGAAGATGAAGCAATGTTTCCACAAGGTCTACATTTAATGATAAGCTTAAGGATTAAATTAATTCTGCATTAATTCTAAATGGATGTAACTGGATCTTCTCTTTTTTCTTTAATTAGTTTTTTCCTCTTTTCTCTATTTTTGTTACATATTTTAGTCATCACTGTCTATCCACTGCTGTATTTTTTTTCTCTTGATGTTGTAGTTGTTTGTATTTCACTATTATTAAAAAATAATAAATGCTTGTTTCAGAATAACTACACAGTTCTGTGACTCTAGTCAACAACCAAGTTTCAATTTTCCTTGCTAAAAACTGGACAATTAAATTTTATCTCTAAAATTAGCAGGTGCCATGAAGCCATAATTAAGAACCCTTGGCAAGAACAGAGCCGCTCAAATGCGCCAAAGCATACAGCTGGCAATGGATTCCCCTTCTTGCCTCTTTGTTTCTTCTCCTCAGGAAGTAGCGTGCAAAGGAAACCAACCCAAAGAGCCATTTCACATTATGCCTAAAACCGCCTTGATGTTTCGCTTGTAACAAGCACCCAGAGTTTAGCAGCAAGACTAAGCAATCTGCATGAAGAAAAACTTCTGTAAATGTAACTATGGGCCAGAGGCATTATTATTCTCATCTCACAGGACAAAGTGAGATTTTTAAAAAGGTGACAATTATACTGCCCTTGAAATCTTTTTTCAAGAACAGAAAAGGCTGCAGTAATAAAAATAGGAAATGCCAGCCTTCAAGTTATCAGGTGTTTGTGGGTGAAATACATTGCAAGTTTTTTTATACCTTACTAAATAAAATAAAATGTTAATGCGAGCCTTATGACCTAACCTTAAGAAAAAGAAATATGCTTCGTAACAATTGCCGCAACTTTATGTGGGAATAAGTCTATCTAAATTAACATGCCTAGGGTTGGATTCTAATGTTTAATTTATTTATTCACAACTTATTATTTTCTGCTCACGGAAGAGTTGAATAATTCAAAAAAGAACTCTGGTTCTTTAGATACACTTAGTCCTAACCTTAAAAAGCCACCATGCTACCATTTCAAAAAAGACAGTTGTACCATTCAATGTGCTTGGAACCCATTATTTTTTCACTTGCTCTCCTAATCCAAAACAGGTAATAATGGACTGAGTGGGACTCAGAGACACACACTTTTCAATATTAGCAAACCTCCGCTATTGACTACAAATACCAAGCATTTGGCATTATTTAATTTTACCTCATGCTATGACAAAATGAAACAGTTTCTCTTACCTCCCTTGTGGTTGAAGATGGAAGGACATACCCATCAATGGACAGACCATGACACTACAAAAACAACACTGCTTTATTATAAAAAGAATAAAACAAACAAGTAAGGAAATTAATCACAGGAACTTGTTGAGATGGAGGTTGGTTTCTCTTCCTATCATTAGTTAGTGACCCCGACAAATTTAATACTGATTTAGTATAGCTTCCAAAGAAAACATTTTCATACCAGACTAGAAAGTGACTGCATGGGCACCTCAACTCGGCTTTCTTGGAAAAGAGGCTTGCCATAAGTTCTTCTGGAATGTTTCATGGACTTCCCAGCCTAGCCTACAGCCCTTGGGTTTTGTAATGGTCTTTGATCCAAGTACTAATGAGATGGGACCTGATTAGCTTCTTTTGGAATTCAACCAAATTCAGCTAAGTCCTGCAACCTGCTGTGACCAGTGCACTGAATCTGGAATTCTCCATGAGAAGTATAGTTTTTGGAACAGAAAACCAGCTGCCATCTCACAGTCACACTTGGCCTATAAAACAAATTTCATATGTTCTTTATGGCACTAACAGTATTAAGAAGTGGGCATTTTCAAAGAATAATAAAGTCAGAATAAACTTGGTGGTGTTATTGTTTATAAAAGATTAGCAAGCACTATATATTTTAGAACAGAAAGGGTAACCAGAATACAAAGGAGTGTTTTCAGTTAACTTTGCTAAATATGCTCCCAGGTTAATTTATATTCTGAGAGGAATTCCTGTTCAAATATCTGGAAAATATTTTCAGAAAATAAATTCTTTGTTTAAAAATGTTTATGGAGTTCTTCAATTCTGAGAATATCTTTGTAGGAAATGCAATTACCATTTAATAAGGGAGGATTTGGTTTTCCAAATCTGGAGCTATGTCATCACGCTTACCTATTGTCAAGAATTAAATACTGGAAGCCAACAATTGGTGATAATTTTCTGATTTGGGCAACTTTGGAATATACATATATAGCACCTGTGGTTACATGGACAGTATTAGGATTTAAATACAATAGAACACTAGTATCTCTAGAAATGATTATGTCAGTTAGAAAGCTATGGAATGTAATGTCTAATAAAAAAAAGAATTGATCCTTTTCCCCATGTTAAATTGACTTTATAGGGAAACCCAACATTAAAAATTGGGGAAAAGATGGTGATATGGAAAAATTGGATAGAAATGGGGATAAACTTTGGATAGATGATGAAGATGAATTTATAACATATGCTGTGTTAAGAGATAAATATCATCTATCAGATGTAACCCAATGGCAATATTTACATCTACAACATTTGTTAACAACACTGTTTGGACTAGCAGCATTTTCAGCCTCTGAGGCACTTGAGATAGTAGAACAACTTGTTAAATCCTTTAAAACTGGAAAACCTATTATTAGCTTTCACAGATATTTGTTATCAATAAATAAATTTGACATGCAGATGTTAAAAGACAAGTGGAATAAATAGAGGATCTATATTACCTAGACAATGGGAGAGTGTCTTAACTTCTATAGTAAGAGTGTCAATGGACCTTAATCTACAACTTATACAACAAAAAATATTATTTAGAATTTATTGGACTCCATTATGTTTGTATAGAAAATGACTAAGACAGCATTCTGTTGGAGAAGTAACAAGGATCATGCTTCTTTAAAACATGTTTTTACAATGTTCTATGCTTACTAAGTTTTGGGAAAAAGTAGTGAACCATATAAACATGACTGTGCGATAAAAGCTAAAATTTTCAGAGGATAATATTCTCTTGAATTACATACCTAGTACATGGAATTTGACAACTGGACAACGTAAATGGATTCTCTGTGCCCCTACTATGGCTAAAAAACTGATATTGCAGCATTGGAAAGATAAATGTATGGCCCCATTAATTCCACTCCATTATGTTTCACCTCTTCTCCATTTATTCAGTACAAAAAAAAAACAAAACTTTGACTCTTAACTTTTTACATATAACTTTAATTTACATTTAACCTTAATCTGAATGCGTGAGGTTTTAAAAAAATGTATAACAGTGCTAGGGATCAAAATAACTATTTGAAATTGTGATTTGTTATGCCTATAAATACTTGGCCAGAATGAGTTCTGTCCAGTTCACATGAGGAAGTACCATGGAGATTTTAAAAAAACAACAACCCAAAAGCAGAAAAATGTTCTGAAAATATTTTCAGAAAATACAGTATATAATATTTTATAAAATATTATCTATGTTCATGAAAATTTGAATTTAAAATAAAAAGTCAAGTGTTTTCTTCATAAGTAGTTGAGGAAACACATTATTTCAAAATATTTCAATATAGTAAGTTTTGGCCAGTTGACTGCTTTAATCTTTTTAAACCAAGTAGCTAGATTCTAAATGAAACGATGCACATTAAACAGCAGTATTATCAAGCAACATTGTTCTGCCTTCTGCTTTCTACAATTACCTTCTGAAGGATCTTCCACACTTTCTGATAGAATCCCACAGGGACTCTATTAATGGCACCATCGAGTCGTCTCCTGCGAAGCCACTGTCCTTGTCGGTCACCCCAGCTAATGGAGTGTCCACCTGACCCAGTAAGGGACGATGTACTAGTAGGAGAAGATGGGCTACTGCATCTCTGTAGAAAAGACAAAATTAATTCCATAAGGCAACAGAAACACCAATTTCTCAGAAACACCAGTCTGATGCCTCAAATAAGAAAGTCTGCTTGTGGAGGCCATTCCTCTCCTTATACCGTAAGTGCCTGACCAGTCTATTTTCTCTTGTCAATGCAATCTTTCTTTACCTATGCCTTTCTTTTTTAAAATCTATCAGGAACTTCTTGCATATTTTGTCAGCAATGTCAAATAAAGAGTTAAGTTCACAGTATAGATTTAATATTTGTAGCCCATCAGTGACTTAATGAGACCACTGGTTAAATGAAAAGATATCAACAATTCATTAAAACAGCTATATCTTTTTTTCCCAGTCTCATTCAGAAGCTTGAAAACCAATGTGACTAATTTAATTAGTAGAAGAAGATGTTGTGCTCATGTAATGTCTGAAGCGGTTCCTCTGAAACATTTTCAAAGCTAGCAAAGCTTTACTAACTATATATAAATTAGCAAAAATAAATTGTGCTTTATTTAAAATCTTTAAACAGTTCATGGACTTTAAATTAATTGGTTATGGGGATGTGATTTTTAAGAACACAACATCCATTTTGACCGGTGACTGACATCCTTGTATTTCAAAGGTCCATCTATTACCCTATTTGATACCATGCATTTATCAAAATGGAGAGCCAGCACAAATATGCAGAATCAGCTAATTATTTAAAATACTTTTTTGCATAAGCCATTTTTTGTATTATTGTGCTATTCAGCCATCTATTGCTTTGTATGGGCAGGATACAACTGTCTGCCACACTACGGATAATAAAGGATTGAGGCTTATTTATTTTTTTATTTATTAGATTTATATCCTGCCTTTATTTTGTCCAATTCAAGACAGTGTACATAATGCTCTCTTCTCCTATTTTCCCCATAACAATGTAAGTTAGGTTGGGCAAAAAGTCACCCAGTCAGCTTCTGTGCCCAAGGAAGGTCTAGAATTCACAATCTCCACAAATCTAGCACCTTAACTGCTATGCTCATACTGCATGTAAAATTGAAATAAAACATTTATTAGTTTATTAAGTCTCCTATTACTAATTTTGTCTCTCCTTTTACTGTATCTCCATACGGGGATTCTCTTGTAAGGTAATTTAGACATCAGTAGCCATTCCTGACTAAGTTCTGATGAGCTTTCAACAATAATGAAGCAATTATATTATGATAAACATAAGATCACATTATTTACAAACATACTACCTTCATTTACTTAGATAAAATATTGATTATTACTTCATATTTCTGTTGTATTATATCTACTAAACTAGCTGTCTTCTGGTATTTTATGCAGAACTCTGGCCTATTACATTTCAAGCTACAATGTCTAAGGAGCCCTTCTTCAGGTGCTGTGCTATAGTACTAACTGAACTACCAGTTAGTCTTGATTAGCTTAGCTAGACCAGTGTTTCTCAACCTTAGCAACTTTAAGAAATGTGGATTTCAACTCCCAGAATTCCCCAGCCACAGAATTTGTAATTGCAGAAAGAAAAAAACAGTTTGCTTTCCATTGTCAGGACTTGCATAACATCTCAGATCTCAGCTAAGGACCTTTCGGTGTGGCCCCATTTGGCAAAGTTTTCTAGATTTTCTTTAAGATACCATCCATGCTTCAGGAGCAAACAAAAAAGCATTTTTGATAGTTGCTCCAAACTGATTATAGTGATAACAGCCTGAAATCTCCTGCTGGAAGTGCCAGAAGGTTAGTTTGTTTTACTTAAAAATTCTTCCCCACTTCAGTCCCCTCCAGATGTGTTGGACTGCAGTCTTTATCATTAGCAGGCAGCATAGCCACTGGCCTTGCTGGGAAACAGAGTGATGGGAGGTGTAATGCAATACATCTTGATGGTACCATGTTGGAGAAGGTTAGGGTAAAACTAGGATTAAGATAGGTTGATTAGTTTCATTTCTTTGTAATTGTTTCTGTAATATATACTGATAATTTGTTGAGTTTTTAAAATGCAACAGTATACTGAAATAAGTACAAAATAATCCTTTCAATTTAAGAAACACTATTCTAGAAATTCAGTAAATTCCTTAATGTAATTCTATTAAATGATTTTAAACATTGCCAGTGAAAATAAACAAGCTGATGAGACAGAATTCCTGAACATTTGGAAGTTGTAGGAAAAGGCACTTTGGACAAACTTCACCTACTAAAATGTTTTCATACAACTATTAAAAGGTACAGGTCTCCTTGATAGACGAAATCATAGTTTCAAGAACTAAAAACTTCTAAATTCACTTCAAGTAAAGGCAGAATAACCACTTAGAAAGCTTTTAGCATATTCTGGAAAGGAAAAAAAATCTTACTTATTTTAATTCCCAATCCACTTTTCCTCCAAGAACTCAAGATGTCATAAATGATTCTCTCCTTCACAGATATTAACCTTACAGGTCTTTGGGATATACTGAGTTTAGATGGCTCAAAGTCTTCATGACCGATTCTCTATTACCCCATACTGCAACTGTATCATACTACCTAAGTATGGATCACACCATCAGATGTTAAATTATAATTGCCAAACCATATAGGCTTCATGATATATTTATTACAATATGCAAAATCAGCACTTATATTTTAACCATATCATTTAGGAAGAATTAAAAGAAGGGCTATGGCAGCAGGGATTACCAGGCATCTCCAGGTAGCATTTGAAAACTCTTCCAGCAGAGCCTGGAAGGATGCTGCCAGTCAATGCCAGTTACACTGGATTAGATGGACCAATTAATAATCTGAAGGCAACATCCATGTTGCAACTCTCTCATCTCTGCAAACTTCCCCAGAAATATAGAGACATCCTGTGAAAGACCTTATGCTTGGCAAGGCTGATCTCATCTATAGCCCTATGCTTTAAGAATTGAATTACTGATCTATGTTCATTCTATTTAAAGCAGATCGGGGGGGAGGAAACAAATTTCCCCCCTGCTGAAGTCATTTGAATTCCATAAGGTTTGAGATACTGAATGAACCATTCAGCAGAGCTGACACTGAGTCATCTTAGAGTTCAGGGAAGTGCTAGCACTGAAGCAATTCTAGCTCAGTAGTACTGTTTGGTTGTCTGTACCTATAATGGTAAAACTCTTCTACTGATAAATCATTGCAAATCAATGTTGTTGATGAACCTAGCTGGAAGCCGGTCCCAGCACACCTCCTTTTCTAATGGAAAGAAATGGTATGGGAAAGAAAAATAAAAATTTCCTCTCCCATATGAGTAGAATTTCAGATTGCCTATGGAACTGACAATTCACACTGTATTTACTATTACGAAATTTGGCATTATGAAATGTAATGATAACTATGATATTAGATTACTTTTAAAAAGGGATGGATTATGTGCATATTTTGGTTTTAGACTGCTTTGTGCTCATGGCATTAGGTGATATTACAGTTTCTGATTTTTATTTGATTTTAGTATTTAAATATTTGCATCTTTGTATGTGGACAAGGATTGTGTGGGTTTATCCACTGCTCATCATTTGGAAAAAAATTTTTTATTTAATTAATGCAGACTCATTTTCCCAGTGTTTAATTCTATAACCATACAGTGAGGCAAAAAAGTATTTAGTCAGCCACCAATTGTGCAAGTTCTCGCTCACCATTCTTGTGATCATTTTGACCGCTCACCATTCTTGTGATCATTTTGACCAATGGGAAAAAAAATCCAGAAAATCACATTGTCTGATTTTTAAAGAATTTATTTGCAAATCATGGTGGAAAATAAGTATTTGGTCAATATCAAAAGTTCATCTCAATACTTTGTTATATATCCTTTGTTGGCAATGACAGAGGTCAAACGTTTTCTGTAAGTCTTCACAAGGAATGGGAAAAAAAATCCAGAAAATCACATTGTCTGATTTTTAAAGAATTTATTTGCAAATCATGGTGGAAAATAAGTATTTGGTCAATATCAAAAGTTCATCTCAATACTTTGTTATATATCCTTTGTTGGCAATGACAGAGGTCAAACGTTTTCTGTAAGTCTTCACAAGGAATGGGAAAAAAAATCCAGAAAATCACATTGTCTGATTTTTAAAGAATTTATTTGCAAATCATGGTGGAAAATAAGTATTTGGTCAATATCAAAAGTTCATCTCAATACTTTGTTATATATCCTTTGTTGGCAATGACAGAGGTCAAACGTTTTCTGTAAGTCTTCACAAGGAATGGGAAAAAAAATCCAGAAAATCACATTGTCTGATTTTTAAAGAATTTATTTGCAAATCATGGTGGAAAATAAGTATTTGGTCAATATCAAAAGTTCATCTCAATACTTTGTTATATATCCTTTGTTGGCAATGACAGAGGTCAAACGTTTTCTGTAAGTCTTCACAAGGTCTCTCATCTTTTTAAGTGGGAGAACTTGCACAATTGATGGCTGACTAAATACTTTTTTGCCCCACTGTACTTCATGTGAGCAAATGTTGAGTTCACAGACATTCATTTTAATAAAATGAAACTAGATTACAGTATATATTTTGGGATTCATTTCTATGATAACATTACAGTTTACATTAACAATTAAAGAGAACTTGCATATTGATAGGGAGCAATAAATTCTTACTTTATAGAATTTTGCCCTTTTTCTAGCTTTTGTTTCAGGAAAATCTACATGCCTTGTGTTTTGAACATTAAATTCTATCATATAATTCCAATCACATGATGTATATAATACATCATAAATATTTAATATTTTTATTAATAATTAGTATGACTTTCACTGTAAGGAAAAAAATTACAAGCTCTTTAATACATGAGAAATTAAAGCCAGTTGATCTTAGCTTTGTGGCTGTCCACAGTAAGGGAAGAGAGAGATTTTAAGTTTCTGAATGATGGATTACCATGGACCTGGATGAGTGCATGCTGCTGGATGTGGAATGGCCCCCATAGAAGAACTACAAAACAGAAATACAAATCAAATTAAAATAATCAGTAAGGAAAATCAACAAAACATGGATAAAAATATGAATGTATTAAAAAAGAACAAAACTCGAAACACTCACAGTCTTTCCATTGCTAATATCTGTTATGACGGTTACATTGCTATACTTTCAGTAGTATTAGAGAAAACTGAATATTTTCATTCTGTGCCCAAATGAAAATATATTCTATTCTCTTTGACATAAATCTGCATACTTCTGGATTTTGTTTCCAGTGTTGTCATTGAGAATATTGATGTACCAAATAATGAATAAAATCTAGGTTACAAACTTTAAAATATGAAGTTTACAATAAGCATCAAAATCTGGGCCTATACCAAGAAGATGCATGCAAATGCAATGTCAAACAAAGACCAGATTATTGTGAAAACATTCCAAGATCACAAAAAAGTTTCAAAATTATTCCCTTATTTGCATTAACTATGGTATTCAGAATATTTTGAATTTTACCATTGATCAAATAATTACAGATCAGTTCATTGAAAATGGAAGGGTTAAATAAATGTATGTATCTATGTTTTGGGTTATTTCATACATGTAAATCACTTTGAATCTTCCAGGAGTGCAGCACTATAAAAATGTAAACCATTTCTGAGAAGCAGCTTTCTCTTCTTTCTCTGCAAATTCCAATTCATGAATTTTTTTCATGAATTCTGAATACACCGAGCTACAAAGAAGGGTTCATTTCCCCCACATTTTCACTCTATTTTTGCATGTCCTCCCTGCTGGGGTTCTAAGCAACTAGTTGCTAAATGCAGAACTGAATAACTAGACACCTGGAGTGGGATTTGAGGAGGTCTATGAAACCAGTCAGTCGTATTGAGAACTTATTAGGCCTTATCTAACTGCCATACAAGTTGATTGCAAATCTAAAATGCTATTTCTAATTCTTTGGAAAAAGGACAGGACATAAATACGTTAACAAACCAATTTGCCCCAAAGCAGTGGTATCTGCATGGGGAAAATGGGAGGGTCAGATTGATGAAAGCAGGATCACAATGCAAGTGCCACCCCTTTTCTAGATAATTCTGGCAAAGGCAAGAACTGCCTCATAGGGTCTGTTTCGGGCTTGGAAGAATTGTGGTTACATAGGTACGAGTTCCCTTCTCAAAAATCCAGTTTGGGTTTTGGGGCATCTCATGGTGAAGGGTGAAAGAAGCACTTTATCACTTTAAAAAATAAAGTTTACAGAGATTTATAGCAAGAGTTATATTCACTACAAGTTTTCACCATCTTTCCCTAAGTCAGTTCTATTATTGTTGTTGTTGTTGTTGTTGGTTGCACAGTCATCCAGATATTTAGACTGGATTTGGCATTTTTATCGATCGAGTCCTTCCCAAGGACCTGGGATAGGCAGATGTGGTTGTTTGATCGTGTTAAAGGTATTGGCACAGGATATAAGCTGTTCCAAGTAAGGCTGCCTTTTGCATTATTATTCCTGTTGTTGTTGTTATTATAATTTATATATCACCCAACTTCCAACAACTCTGGGTGGTTCACAAATAAACGGTCTTTTAAAATGAAGGCAGACAAGTAAAACTTCAAATTTCCAAGCTTGGATATGTAATTAAGTGTCCTGACTTTCAAGAATTCATTCATTTACAACTACCCCTATCCCCACTAATCAGTTTATACTATAGTGCAATAAGAACCATAATGGAAGACCTCTAATGGCAAATTAGTTTCACAGTAAGTAGTCAACATGCATACAGTTACAGAGGAATGGAATATAAATTGGGAACACATGCTTTGAGAAAATTATCTGAAAAAAATATTGACCAAGCATCTAGTAACAGTTTTATAGGAAAAATAATTCTAGGCAGAACTGCTTCCTAATCAATTCTAAATCATGACTAGGCTGGGATAAATCTGTCCTATTCAATTTGACTTAGATGTAGGAAAGAATGTAGTTCAATGGCAGAATATGCCCAGAAATGCCAGATTCAATTCTTGATGTTTTCTGGGTAAGATCTGGAAGATCTCATCTGAAACCTGCCAGTCAGTGTAGATACTACTATTGGGCAAGATGACCCCAAACACTGAGTTACTAAAGGCAGCTTCCTTTATTCCCCTGAGCTGAGGAGGGTTTATGCATAATGGTTCAGATAGCAGCACTAAACAGTCAAGAAAGGATATTAAGTCATATTTATTTCCACTGACAATTTCAAGTCAGGAAAGAAGTAGTAAAAACACACAGCAAACACGGAGCCTCCAAGAGCTCCAGGTGGGTGATTTTCTACTTCTCAAAAAGTCAAAAGACAACAGGAATTCCTGCCAGCCCTGGCTTGTTAATGGTCCCTATATCAGACACTTGTCTTTCTGGTCACCCTCACCTTTTTCATGTTTAAAGGTATAAACATAATGAGAGACATGGCACTGAGAAAATTGCTAATATAATAAAATGGTGCTGCTAAGCTACTGTAACATATTCCAAAAATATTACAGAAAAGAAAACAGCCTTGAATTGGTGACTCTGGAAACCAGCCTGGAGCCCACACAGAGCAAGCCCATGGAAGCTTCATATACACACATAACTCATAATCGTGTATTAGTAACTTTACTAATAATTTTTGTTTTAATATTTCATTGCATGCATTTGCAAATGCAGCTGAGCAATACCACAGAAAAACATGCAGATTTAACAGCTTCCTGTACACAGATAGACATGTTTCATTTCACCTGTTCATTACTACTTAGTCTCCTATGTCTCTAGAAAAAGGAGGAAAGAAACCCATTGTAAATAGTTATATATTTAATAAATAGTTAATATAACAGGTACAAATGTTAAATAATCTAGAATTACTTATGCGTAATGTGGTAGTAATTATATAATGGGTGCAGTAACCTGCAAGTTATTATTGTCATTTCAGAGATATCATAAAATGATTTGTAAAAGAATGGTAACTCAGCTAAACTCCCCTTCTTCAGTCCCTCAAGCAATATTAACCATTGCTCCAGAAAGTCCATCAGCATGAAAAGACTGAGGCGGTGGCATTATTACATCATCATTGTTACTATTTCAATTTTTCACATCCATCCCTGAAGTCCTTGGGTGATATACAAAATGCCCAAATCTAATAACAAATTAAAATATATAAAAAAACAATGACATATGACAGTTGGCATAACCCCTAATCCCTGGTGGATGCAGAAACTAATATACAATCCTTCAGACCCCGTATGTGTTCAGAAATTAAGCAGAGCTTAGGTCACAGTTACTGACCAGTTGTAGCCACCAGAAAGTACTAGCTCTCTGTGCTAGGCTGCCTGAAGGCAAGTGCAGAGAAAACATGCGTTCACCTGCTTCATCTCACTCTTCAGCCTTGTAATGCCACTTCTTTCTGTCTTTGTCGCTCCAGTGTGGCCCACTTCATGGATAGATATAGCAGGGCTGGATGTAGAGGAATCGAGAGGACGCACTGAGGATTGAGAAGACAAGGGAAAGGTACCAAAAAAAACCTTAAACACACAGAAGAGGATTTTTAAAAAATAAGAAAGTTATATATATATGTATATGTATATGTGTGTATAAGCATATATTACTGCTCCTTTCGACTCCAAATTCTTTCCCACTGAGAATATGATGAAGGAGGTTTTTCATATCAAAGGGACTCAGATTCATTAAGCTTTCAGAGGCTTCTTCACCTGTAGGGGAAAAAAAGGAAGACCCTAAATTTCAAGAGCAACTAAAATGAATGAGAACATGTTGTCAAGAGTACAGATCATCCATTCTGCAGGGATAAAGTTATTACTGGTCAGCTTAGTAAAGGCATGATGAGCATCACTGTCAGTCCCTTATCATGTAAAAATAAATAGCTGGTGTAATTGTTTTCAGGAAGATGATTTGAACAGGTTTTTTCTTTCCCTTGTGAGAAGACTATAATTGCATCAAGTCAAAACAATGCCACATTGTGCCTATGAGGCAAAGTACGACTCTTCCCCCTCCCCTGCCCCAAACCCAAATCTCAAAACAACATTTCACTTTTGACACCAAGAACTCAGCCTTTTATTTAGACAAATAACAAAAATATTTCCTGCCTTGAAGCTTTTCTGGGACTGTTTCTGAAAATGGAAGATGGGGCACATAGTATTGCCCACAGTTGTCCCAATGAAAACCACTTAACTTGTTTTATTGGATTATTTCAGGACTTTGCAACAGACAGTTGTTGCAGACTTTGTCAAGCATACGAGAAGCTGTGAAATGTAGGGACAAGCAGCCAATCTATGGGTTTTTCTTTTTATGGTAAGACTATGAGCCATAGACACGACATGTGGGGTAGCCTTCCCCAAACTGGTGCTCTCTGTGTATGGACTACAAATTATTTCTAGTTATGCTTTGCTATCTGGGAATTAGAGAAGCTGTAGTTCATGGAGGAGAACATCAGGTTGCAAAGATTCTGTAGAGAAAAAATAATTGAGCCTGTAATCCTGTGCATGGTAAATCCTCTCTAGGGGATATAGGAGGTCTTCTCTCACTTGGAACCTCAATGCTACAATGCATTCAGCTACAAACTCATCTTGATATTGAAAAAGCCATATTCTCTTGATGAAAGACCTTAAACTCTATAATAGCTATTATACAATTACTGAATTGTTATTTTTATCTGTGTAATAATTACACTGAAACTAAGACCACTGCCATTGTTATAACCTTAGCCATTACATATCTATCTTCAGACGATAATAGGTCATTTACTTATTTGCTCTGAGAAATAAGCATTATAAAGACAAATATAAATCAAGCAACAGATGTGTCAGATTTTATAACTTGCTTGAAATTATATACAGGTAGTCCTTAACTTACGATGACAGTTGGGACCGGAATTGTGGGTGTGCAAGAGGTGTGGCACGGATTGGGAAGGGTGTGTGGGAGTGTATGGCGGTGCACGAGAGGCACCGCGGGGATCGCAGAGGGTGCACAGGAGTGCACGAGAGGTGCAGTGGGGTCGGGGAGGGTGTACGGGGGTGCGGAGTGGGTCAGGGAGGGTGTATGGGGGTGCACAAGAGGCACCCCTCAGGTCAGTGAGGGTGTGAGGGGGTGTGCAATGAGCATGGTGCGAGCGCAGATGGGCTGGAAGAGGGTGGGCAGGTGGGGGAGACTTACCCCAGCAACTTGCAATCTTTCCTGCCAGCTTCGTTTTTGACTTTCTGGAGAAGCTGGAATGGAAGGTTGCAAATGGCAATCGTGTGATTGCGGGGCGCCTGTCAACTGGTCATAAGTGTGAATGGGTTGCCAAGCACCCCGATTGTGATCACGTGACCGCAGGGGTGCTAGGATGACCACAACTTCAAGGACCGTAAGATTCCTTTTTCAGCACCATTGTAACTTCAAACGGTCACTGAACAAATGGTTCTAAGTCAAGGACTACCTGTATATTCTTCGAAGAAGGAACAGAGAAAATGAATGGAAAAAAGTTGAGTGTAATCACCATTGGATCATATGGTCACAAGCAAGAATAGGTAGTGTCAAGAGTTCCTAAAAATATCTCATCAATTAACAGCATAGTTGACAAGAATAAAAAAAAAACCCTGGAATATAGAATTTTGGTTTCTGATTTGTTATGAGTATGTTAGCCCCATAACATGCTTATTACCAGCCTTTACCTACAATCTTCTCCTGCCTTCTCTGGAAGTCCTCTATTTCCTCCTTTACCCTTGACTTCTTTTCACTATCGTTTAGCTATTATATGCAAATCTGTCTTTCCTACTGTAATCTAGCTTCTCACCTCTGAAATATACTTAGAAACTCCTGTTTTATTCCAGAGTAGTAGTAGAAAGAAAGTAGCCTTACCCGAACAATTCAAGCTGCGAGCAAGTTCTGTTGCCATCACTTGAATAATGAGCCCAATGCGGAGTCTGAGCATTTCTGCAAAGAGACTAGGTTGTGACCGGACATACATGGCCAAGTACACTATGATTTCCTGCCAGAGTTGGGGAAGAGAAGAAGGATTAATTTTAGAGATCTCCATCGCACACTGTACACAGTGGCAATAATGAAACAATTTCTTCAAAAAGTTTATCAAGGCTTCTTTTCATGTTACCTGTGTAAGGACTGCAATGCTGATGTCCTGGCCACTGGCTTCATATATTAGTTTGGTCAGCTTTTCAGGAGGCAAAGGCCTAAGGAAATTGAACTTAATTAAAGGCATAAGCAAAAATCTGTCAGTGACTCTGGCTATTTTGGCCATTTTTTGAGAAGACCAGCCAATAGCTTAGCCTTATGAATTACCCTCCCAACTTATCAGACTGCAAACATTTTTATTAGACTGCTAGAAGGGTAGCAGGCTGTGTTGCTTGGTTTTCATCTTTTTTGCCCCTTAAGGGGCTTGTAAAGAAACATCTGCCTCGACACAGCCTAAGATTGGAGAAAAGGAAACTTGCAGAATAAGAATCTTTTGCTATCTCTGCCAAATGACTCACTCACCTGTTTGGAATTCCTAGCTGTCCATGATTACCAGGACAGTTGACACACCCAAAACTGCAGAATGTATTGAAATTGTCCTGCCTTTTCTAGAATTGTACTCAGTTATGTGTAATTGAGGAAAAAATGGTTCTATTCTTTCAAGTTTTTCCTTGACCATCAAGCCACAACAGTGGTGTTGCTAATGAAGAGGACCATTTTTGCTATTAGATATTCTTCACAAACTTGCTAAGATCCTGTATGATCTCAGATATGACTCATGCTCCCCCAATTAATACTTTTACTACAAATTCTGACTTGAAATGCACATAAGTACCCAGCATGATTGGGCTCTATTATTCACTTGGAATAGAAAAAATAATAATAAAGTCGTCAAAAAGTATGAAAAACAAGGCATTGGTTTAAGATAAAGAAGTTCACTTACGCTGTAATTGTTTTTTCACGAGGCTCAGGTGGGAGGCCAACTGTAAGTTGTTTCTGGTGGGATAAAAGATCTGTGCAGGCCTAGCACACAATGGAAAGAAGCGGATTCAATTTGTTAAATACGCAGTAGCAATTGCAATACGCTATCTTACATTTTGAAAAATTGCTTTAGTCACTCCATATCTCTAATGTCAATGTGAAGACCAAGTTCATGTTCTATGGTATCTCAGCATCTGAGATAAGAAAGCATGACGAGACGAGAAAATCAGCTATCTCTTCTCCCTTAATGTTTTGTAGGGAGGCCCAGCAAAGACAATAACCAAATGCAGTTTTTATGCTTCATGCAGTTAGACCTACTGGAGAAGAATGTAGAGGAACATGCTTCAGCCCCCTCACAAGTCGGAAGCAAGCGGTACAGAGCCTGCCCTACTAAGGTGAGTTTCTCAGATGATGTAATATCTGGAAAATCAGGATTCTAATATACTTTGGGAACTTAAATATGCAGTGATCTAAAAGGCAGCTCAACATGCTGGGTTACTATGGGGAGACTATACGGGCACCTATATCTTAAGAAAGTTACCTGTATTTGTATGCTGCCAAATATCTGTACGGGGCTTATATTATATAATACTAATCTTGTATCTGTCACATCTCTCAATAAGTGGGAATCTTGAACAAGAATTCTCTGTATGAATGCATACAGAGACTTGAATGCATGCTATGTCAGCATTTTCTTTTAAAGCTGCTTTTCAAGGGTGGGAGAAACTGACATGGAAACAATTTATTTGTTCCATACCTCAGCCAGGACTTCAACTTTCTTTTTCAGTATGCCAGAGATGTAACGGATTAAGCCCCATTCTTGGTTTAGGCCTGCTTTGCTGTAAAGTTCATTGAGAAGGCAATGAACTGTGACCCCGCACTGGCCGTAGAGCTGCGTTTCCCAATCAAGACCTCTTACAAGACAAAAAATATCACAGTGGTTATATGTCCTTATTTATTTACTTTTTTAAAAGGAAAGGGAGATACCGTAGGTTGTAGGTGTATCAACCTCGACTAAATTGCCAGAAGTAAATAAAAGTTCCAGTCTGAAATTCAGCTCTAAAAGCTTTAATTTTTAATACAATTATATACTTGAAAACTCATATTAAAAATTAATGAGTTTTTTTACATTTAATTTCCCACAGGGCTTTTGAAAGCCCCAACAAGCAGTTCTTGATTTAAGAACTTAACAATTCAGTGAGGTTAACGGCATTACAGGTAGTCCTTGTTTAGTGACCGCAATTGGTTCTGGTGAAATGGTTGCCAAGCAACACAGTCATTAGGTGAACCACACGGCAGAGACACAGAGAAAGATGCTGTAAAGATCACTGGTTTCTGCCATCTTATTCAGATAACGTTCTCTCATACAGTGTCCTGTGCCTGACCCATTTCCCCCCCCCTTTTTTGCCCCCTCTCGGGGCAGAGAGATTGCTTAAACAAACTCTCTTTTCCCGAGCTGTTTTTTTCCATAGCGCACCATGTCCCTAAAAAGTGCTAAGGGCAAGTTAACAAGCTCAGCTCTGTGACCTTAATTAAGACTTTAAACTGAGACCTTAAGCAGTTTCACGCTGACGGCTTTTGTTGTTGTAAATCTGTGCATTGGTCAGAAAATAACTTTTATTACCATTTATTACAATTGTATGTATGAACAGTCGCTATCCAAAGCAGTTGCTAAATGAGGACTACCTGTACTGTTTCAAAATTAAACAAGTACTTAGATATTTCCTCTATTCTTGCCCAAAAGTCTTTTGCATGAAAGTAGTTTTGTGCCCTTAAAAGTGACATGTGAAAACAAGTAGCTGCTCCATGAATGGCAGCCTGTGCTGTGATAATGGAATGACAATTTGACAAAATTAACATGGAATATTGACGGAAAACCAGATGATCTATCAGATGAGTTTATTAGTACTGTTAAAAGGGAGCAAAGTAAGTAATACTAACAGGAATTTCAAGGTCAGGAATCAGGAGATATAAGGTTTTCTTATCTGACTCTAAGAAACAGAAAGACCGAACAGGAACAGAAACAAATGGCAACCTCACATAAAGTTAGTACAGCTGAATATTTAGTTTTCTGGAAGATCATTTTAAAAAATAAATTAAGAACTGCCTATAGAAAATAAAAGGAAACTTACTTTATTAGATACAAGATGTATAATATATCTGCCTGGTCATGTAAAGTAGGGCATTCTGTTAGCTGCCCAACTAACTTCTCACAATCCAAATCACCATGAGCATCCTTGGGCAAACGAAGAACAGTCTTTGGCTCCTATTAATCAAAAACAAACACCAAATGACAAAAGTCAAAAGGAGCAGGGCATATAAGGATGTTTGGTAGATCATTAGTTGTGATTGCTCTTAGGACAATATGATATATTTAGGAACCAAATTAATGCAGTTGAAATATACCATGCAGTTTAACCAATCTTATTCAAGGAGAAAATCTTGCAATTTTGGATGAGATAGCTTTTTTGCATTGTTATTTATTCCTGATATTGTATATATGTTCCTATAATTTTCACATATCTAATATCGCTATCATGCTTACCTGTTACATGATGCTTTTTAAAGAAAACAAAGATAAAACCCTTTCTAAATGATAAATTATAAATGTATTTTGACTGTACATTGATTGAAATAACAACATGGGTTAACTGATCATTGTCTGAAAACCTTGGTATACCATGTTGACTCTATGGAACTAAGGCTAGAGATACATTTCAGAAGGTAAACACTGGCAATTAAGCTGCAATCAAGACATTAAAGAATGAAACAAGTTATGAAAGATAAGCTTCAAAGCTGAGAGATTTTTAGTCTCAATCTTTCTCATTCTTAGTGATCAGTGCTGGGGGCCTTATTATTTTCTTTAAATATTCTCCCATTAGGCTCTCTGATTTTGCCTTCCCAGTTTGATTATCATATCTGTGCCTTAAACTTTCAGGCCTATTTGTCTGTCCCTGTTCTGGGTGATACAGTGTGAGCATTTCTTTCCATCTGTCATGGCAGGATTTCTGCTCCCACTATCTTAAATCAAGCACAGATAAGATAGAGATGACTGAATTCTGCTCTGATCATCTCATCCCTTCCCTTTCCCCTTAGTTTTCAAGGTTGCCAGTTGTGGATCTCCTCAATTATGAGGAACCTGGGCATCCAATCAATGCCAGGCTATATTTAAAACCATCCACAGAGACAAACTGTTAATGTTTGTAATCTCTACTATATTTATTTATTTATTAAACTTATCCCTGCCCATCTCCCCCCAGTGGGGGACTCTGGGTGGCTTACAACAGATTAAAACAATAAATAAATATACAGTTAAAATTTATAAGAAAACACATTTAGACAGAATAAAAGGAAGAGGAAAAATCCAGGAGGCCGACTGAAGCAACACCAAGCCTCTAGGGGGCTAGCCAACCCCATATCTGATGACCTCCCTTCCCACCACAGGCCAGATGGCAAAGCCAGGTCCAAGTCCCTCCGAAAGGCCGGGAGTGAGGGGGCCTGTTTCACCTCTGGGGGCAAGATGTTCCAAAGGGCGGAGGCTACAGCAGAGAAGGCCCACCTTCTGGACCCCGCTAGTCAGAGTTCTTTTGCCGAGGGGGTCCGGAGCATGCCCTCTCTGAAGGTTTGCAGGATCTGTTGGTTCCTCAGCACTAGCTGATAGTTGGTTCATGACCCAGCTTTGTCATGCTTGGATTAATGTAACAGCCTGTTGGCTGGGTTATTCATGAGTTCATTTCCACCCTTTCATTCACATCCAGAATGCTGCTGTTCATACTATTCTGGACCTTCCTTATTTTACCCTTACTCTTTTTGCCACCAATCATTACATTTGTTAGGTATTTGTGAAAGATACCAATATAATTTGGTGCCACTGAGACACTGTGCCTTGTATGTGGGCATACCCACTTACCTGAAAGACCTGCCAGTGGTTTATGTGCCTGTGCATTTGATCCAGTTATCAGGCCTGGACTGAGCAATTCTGCCATATAGTAGAATAGCTATGTTATAGTCAAGAGACTTTTACCATCCAGCTTTGATTCCTTGGAAATCAACTTCCACCACATTTGGAATCAGATCTCTTAAAGATTAAAAGATATTTTTCCTAGGTTCCTGTGAATTTGCTTGAAAACATTCTTATCCATTAATTGGAATGTATGGATGTTCATATTATTAATTGCCATGGGCCTTTTAGTCTAGATGCTCCTTGTTTTATATTGTGATGCTAGAATTGATTGTAGTAGGTTATGGTATCAATCATTGTTTTATCCTAGGTTTGTACTGTGTTCAATTATAAGTGCATGATAAATATATTAATTTAGTTTTCTTTTTTTAGGAAACATTCCAGCTCCTTCTGTATGTTGGAAGTGTTTGCAATAGAAGACTGAGCTCAATACCTATCTGTGACATTGCTACTATTACTAAATTTCTAGCTTCCTGTTAACTAGCAACTGGGCACTCATGGTACTACAAGCAGTTTGGTTAAAAAGCAGTCACATGAGATTTGAAACAGTAAGCAGGTATAGTTGCATACAAATTGTACAACCTTCCTTCTTCTTTTCTGAACAGCTGTTGCTCTTCTCATCTATGACGGCCACTGAGCTTTTGTACAGAAGAGAATGTAGATCAAAGGGGTAAGGAACATAGTGGGGTATTATGCTAAAAAGTGAACATTAAATTGTAAGGAATACAAAGGCCATCTTTGGATCAGGAACTTGCTGTTTTATTTCATATTCTCCAAATGAATGAGTTATGCCTCTTTCAGACACAGTCTTCCTGGCTTTGAGGAAGGTTCCACACACTTTCTAGGATTTTAATATCCACTCTTTGTATCTGAGATGTGTGAAAAACAATGGATAGGGTATAGACTTACTACCTTTACCTTCTCAGGAATGAAGGTGAATTTCTGAAGGCTGCATGGACTGACAAGTGTAGTAGCTCTCCAGAAATGGAACAGAAATATGCAAGATTTCATTATTGTCTCCCCATACTTTACCAATGTAGATTTTGTGTACAACAACATATTCTATAGCAGAGATGTACAACTTAAAGGCTGCAAGATTATATATGATCCCTAAAAACCTCCAGTATTCTTGCCAGAGATTCCAATAGCTGTTATCAAATAGCAGTTCTTAATGTGATAACAGGAGGACACTATTAAATAATGACTGACCAGTAATTGGCATAATAATTACATTTGGTTTTAGTTATATTTCAGTATAAATAATATGAAATATATTTTAGCCACCGTTCTGACTACCCATTACTTTTGTATTTACAGAATGCCACTCAAATGCCATGTGAAGCCACCTGCCCAGAAGAAGTGGTTCCTGTCTGGGGTCAAGGGCTGCCTCAGTGTTTGCTCATGGCCAGGGCCCACATCTGGATGGGGCAAGGGAAAAGAGGATATAATCAAAACAAAGTAGTCCATCAGAGTGGAATAGACATTTTTCTCTCCTATCTTTTCTTAAAACCATTAAATTTAATTTTAACTTACTTACCAAAAATGGACAGCTGGTGAGACTGTGCAACTCATGCTCCAATACTATCTTTGTTCTAATTGTGTATCTTTGAATTTGAATGAATGAATTACAGTAATTTATAAAAGCAGTAAGCACAATATTTCCCAAATGGAAATGTTAGAACTGCTTACCTGGTCTATCTGTGGATGAGGGGAGTCAACAAGGTTCAGAGATTTCCGGTGAGTGTTTAAAACCTTTGTAGGCAAAGACATTGAAACATCTGGAAAACAAATAATGTAAGGCCATTTTACAGATCTGCTACCATATGAATCCAAACACTGCTGGAGATCAAAACGTAAATGATCCTGAGGATCAGTCAGACAGTATATGCAAACGCACTTAACCAAACTTCAAAGACTGCTTCCAGGAAAAGCTGGCTTGTTATGGAGTAGCTGACACTGTTGAAAAAGGAGAATATGTAGCCATTTCAAAAGTAGCTTTTCCTAAAAAGAAAAGGCTGGATAAATCAAGGTTTGGTTACGCATATCTGTAACTTCTATTTAGATTACTATCAGTGTTATCCTGCCTAGAGAAAATGATTGTATATGCTAGCACTTGTATCCAAACCCAGAAAGACAGATTAACATGAAAATATTCCATTATCAGCACATTGATTTAATAACAGCCAAAATGTTAATCACTAAACATACAGTATATACTTTTACATATTCCCATATCACTTCATGCCCACATATGCATGTAAGACGCAGCAAGATTGCACACAGAGATTAGGTCAGGACTTTTACATTCTTAGCTACACTGTCACAGATTCTTAGCTTGCTGTGCTATCCAGGCTAGGAATTGTGGTTCATAACAAATTCTAAGCCAATATTTGATTTCTAAACCTTACATGTTAAATTAACCAAATTGTATTATAACTCACACTTTCTGCTCAGGGCAAAACAGATTCAGAGAAATTGAAATGAAAAGCTGCTAAAGAAAAAAGGAAATGGAAGGGATGGTCAAGTCTAGAGGCTCATTTTGGCATGTTTTGGCAAGTGGTAAATCATGGTAGTTTTATGTGCTAACACAGCCATATAATTTCCAAAATACTGAACTAGGAACTGTTACAGTTTGCACTCAATTTTGTCCCAATTTTCCCTGTACTTCTAGATTTTTAACACCTCACAAATTACCTACCTAACCATGAAACCCTTTGTCTCTAGCCAAAATCATCAGAGGAAATATGGTAGAATTTTAATTTATAATTTGTTGAAACTTTTCTTCCTCCACCTTTATCAGAATGCATTTCATTGTTTAAAATAATGATTCACAACCTGCTCTATTTGGCAGTCTAATAAAATAGAATACTCTCCAAACGTTGGATTCTTATTTCTGTCTGTACTTACAGTCATACTTTATTTCTAACAATGTGTGACCAACTAGGCAAATTTTCCAATATGCATGTACCTTGATAGTGTCTGTTCTACTATTTCTACAGATACCTGAAAATAATGCCTTATTCTTTGGAAATTATGGTGTAACCCTACTAACAGAAATATATTTCATGTGGGATATTTTTGTAGTAGCAAGAGGTCAGCATTTACAGGTATTCCATCTGTTACAAGGTACAGATTTAAAATGTTATAAAAACTTACTTGGAACATCCAGTCCCTTAGTCTTGGCCATGATTGATAGTATTTCTCTGGTAGAATGAGCAGCACTGAACACATAGGATGAACCAGTGCCTTTTGTGAGTGGAGGTAAATATGATTTCAGAGCAGTGCTCTGTAACATACTGTTTATATACTGGTCCAGTTCATCCTGGCTTTCTGTCAAGAAACATTCAAAGAAAAGCTGTTTGAAGTAAAGAAACTATGCTTCCTCCCAATTAACATTATATTCTGGCATATGCATGGTTTGAGCAAGACAAGAACTTTTGTTCTACGTAGTATTCTGATGATTGTGTATACTCTCAACATCCAAGATGTTTATTTTATTCCAACTCTTCCAGCCTCAGTTCCCCATAAATACCCAGCCTCTTAAACCATTCTGCTATCCATTAAGCCCCAAACTTCCTTCTGGAACATCCAGATCTCCCATCCCTCTTCAGTTAAACAACTTAAACATCTTTGAACAAAACATACAAGTGTACTTGCTGAAATGTGCTTTCTGATACTGTTTTTTAGATATTCTGAAAAAGCTTTTCCCTTTTTCTTAATATTACTTATCAAATTATTTCCAAGTTGCTTTTTAGCCTGGCATGGACTTAATTTAATTTTTTAACAAAGCTTGGAAACATTAAACATCACCAAAAAATTTTTTTTTAAATAGCAAAGAATGGACATAATTATAATACAAATCATATGGAATTACACTGTTTTACAAAATTAAACAAAAGAACCCCTCTGATTTCCTTAGGGAAGACTGTCCATCTTATTCCTAGTAAACCCTTTCTTAATCCTATCAAGTAGATCTTAATTACAGATTCATTTGGGAGGGGGGAACATTTATAGATATAATCTGTCTCCAAACCATTTGAGGATTTATAAGTTAGGAACAACATCTTGAATTATAGCCAGAAACGAATTATTTATCATAGCAGTTGATGACTTACTAATGTAATATAGTCAACAAACTCACATCAGAAAGCAATCCAGTGTATGCATTTTGTACTAACTGCAGCTCCTGAACACTCTTCTATATCATTTCAATTTAGAATATGTCACAATACTCATTGAGGCATGACTGCTGTGGTGGCATATCCAAAAAGGACTAAAATAACATATTCCTCAAATATGGCCAAAATTGCTCTTGGTTACTATTTGCCAATTTTTATATGTGGAAATACTGCTCGAATAAAATGAAAAGACAGTGCATCATTACCTTTATCACAAAAGTCTGCATAATCTTCCAGCTCATAGCCACTTTCGGGACTAGAGTAGCCTCCGCTCTCATCATCAAACAGTTTGCTATCACAATCAGGATCCAAAAAGCTCAGGTTTGTATAGAATGAAGTGGTCAGAAAGTCTGAAAGTTTGCCCAACTTCACCCTGGAAAAGAACAGATTGAAGAGGAAGAATACATATTCATTATATATAGCCATACATATATCTCTGGGTGTCTGTACACACATACAAGCACACAGACATATATGCATATACACACATATACACATATGCACATACTGTGGAAAAGAAATTCCTAAGGACCATGCTGGTCAACAATTGTTAGATAGAAAAATGGGTTTTTCACAACTACTGGGATCACATGATATCATGATAGATAAATGATCATATTAAGATATATTTGATAGCTAGGTGCTCAAGGAAATAAAGATGCCCATCACCATTGCATCTTCTTTTTGCCCTTTGCAGAGTCATCTAGCTTGTCTGTTTGTGTTATCTACACTTCCCAACTTGGTATCAGACCAGCAGCTTAATGTTATTCATTAAAACCCTTTCATGCTGATTTTCTGGAACTTACAAAGTATTTTAAAATACACTGAATACATAGAGTAACAAATGTAAATAGAAACAATCCAGCATTTCTAACAACATGTTCCAGTATAAATTGTACAGTAACATCTAATCACAAAAACCATTAGACCAAAAAGTTTTATACTGTTGCCAAAAATAAGAAAAAGGAACTGTCTCAGCTATTTCCAATGCGCATAACACTCACCTTGCTCCTCCAAAATATCCATCTCCGAGCTTTCTTATGGTGGCAAGAATTGCGGGATCAATATCAGTCCCATCATCAACTAAAACAAACAAACAAATAAATAAATAAACAAACACATACATACATACATCTTGGAGAAATATCTTTAATGATTCACTTAAAAAGAAAATCCAGTATTAAAAGTTTTGGTTTAAGCAACATCTAAACTATATTGTCTCTCGCTTTGAGTCTTCCCTTCACCAATGAAGAAAAACAGCAACACCCCATTTGTAGGTGATTTTATTCACAATAAACAAACACATCACACATATTTTAGTCATGAGAACTAAAAGCATAAGCTCAGTTGGACTATGGGTTTTCCCAGGAATGGGGGGGAGGGGCTGTCACGTGTGTCATGACATTATTGCACAAGTGATGCAAATGCCATACTGTATGTCCAACCAAGAAAGAAGTCTTGGGTTCACTGTAGATAGTTTGGTGAAATCATTTACAGTGTGCTTTAAAGAAGGCAAATTCATGCTAGGGTCATTCAAAAAGGGATAAACAATAAATCAGCTGATATTATAATGATCCTATACAAATATACAGTTGGTCACATCTACGGTACTATACAGTATATGTTTCTGACATTATAGGTGGAGAGCCATGTTAGCCTATAGTATGGTCACAAAAAATCAGGAGTCTGGCAGCACCTTTCCGACTAACAAATTTTATTATAAGGCACAGCTTTCAGGAGCTACAGAAGTGACCTACAGCTCACAAAATCTTATGACTTTTAATAGAATTTGTTAATTGGAAATGGTGCTACCAAACTCTTGATATATATGTTTCTGGTCACCAAACCTCTAGAGGAATGTCACTGAGCTGGAGAAGGTGCAGAAAAAAGCAATCAAGATGATCAAGGGGCTGATATGTAAGGACAGGATGCAACAGCTGGGATTGTTTAGTTCAGAGAAAAGACGCTTCTGAGAGATATGACTGAGAATTATAAAATTATACATGATAAGGAAAAGGTGATTTTTTTTCTCCATCACCTGTAATACTAGAACTAGACACCACCAAATGAAAATGACTAGTAGTTGATTTAAAACTGATAAATGACATGCTGTGTGAGGAAATATCTATCTTGTGGAATATGCTGCCTTTCCCAAATGCCAAATATGCGAAACAGGAGCTGCAAAGCAATATGGCTATTTCCCTTTGCTTTTAGGAACAAGATCATGCTGCGAAAGGGGCGCTGTCCTTAAATCTTCATTGAAACAAAGCACCTTCAAAGATTTTCAGAAGCCTCCTTGGGAAAGCCCAAGGAGGCTTCTGCACATGCACATCACCCGCACAGAAGCCTCATCTGGCTTTGATGAGCACTGCTGGAGAACACTGAAGAACATGCTACAAGATAAGCTTCTCCTCTTAGCATTCTCCTCCAGCACACATCAGAGCTTCAGTCTGGCTTTAGTCAGTGCATCTGAGAAGATCTTCAGCTTTCTCCTCTAGCCTTGTCAAAATCCAAAGTTATCATGTGAAATCAGTAGATGTGCAAAAGACTTTTCTCTGGCATCTTTTCCAGTGCCAGAGGAAAGAGAATATTTTAAGGCAACACAAAGTGCTTTCTTGAAGCAAATCACGTTGCCTCTTTGCTTTGATGAAGAAAATAAGTGTGATGGAATGGTTTGATGAAGGCCGCGCTCGGGGAGATAAGCATTCCCTTAGCCCCCAACAGGAGCGTGGGAAGGTTAAGAAGATGAGACTGGCACCACCCTAAGGAATTCACGGTGTTTTGGCTTGCTGGCTTGGGAAGTTTAGATTCAGTCTGGAGAGATTTCTGTCTTTGAGGGGGAAACTAATAAAAGGTTAAGAAGATGAGACTGGCACCACCCTAAGGAATTCACGGTGTTTTGGCTTGCTGGCTTGGGAAGTTTAGATTCAGTCTGGAGAGATTTCTGTCTTTGAGGTGGAAACTAATAAACGCAACAGAACTGTATCTGTACTGTCTTGTGGAGTTTTTTGGGCTGAACCTGACAATAAGTCACCTCACACAGAACCATGCCAAATGATTTGCAACCAGCATTTTATTTCTATGAATTCTGCTATTTTAAACTGTTTCTTCATAAGAAAGCCAGGCTAACATCAATCTTTATAGAAACTGAATTTATTTTCAGTAGTAAACCAACATTTCCAACAATAATAAATTTTTTACTCTGTGTCTTCATGTTGGTCTAGCAGGGAACATAGCTTGAAAATCAAAATGCTAATACTCCATATGTTAAGCTATGAGCTTAAACATTTATAAAAATATCAAATAAGTTATTCTTACTGACCAAGCATTGTATTGGTGATTGGGAAAGTGAGAGTTGGTCTTCCAGTCATTCTCCAACAGGATGTGAGGTAGGCCAACTCAGTTCGTAGCATCTCCACAATCATCCGATTGTCCAAAGCCAGGTAGAAGTGATGCTGATCTGTAAACTACAAGCAAAATTCAAGTTAAAAGTACTACGCATTTAGAGCTGGAATCCCCAATCTGGTACCTTCTAGATGTGCTGAGTTACTATTCCCATCAATGCTGTACAGCATGCCTATTAGCATCAGACTTGTATGACTGGTTTAGGAAATCCCTTCTCAACAGCAACTTTGAAACATATATTTGGCCTATATCACAGTTTTTATCCACTGGGACTGGGGCTTCAGTTTCTATTAAACATCTTGATGGGAGGGATTGTCTTTTCATTAAAATACATAAATAACATTTTAAAATCCAGATTAAATCTCCTCTTTTTAAAGATAAGCATTCAACCTTTGGTAAATTCCTACTTGGACCACTGCATTTTATATAGATGCTCCTTGAAGACGTTTTTGATACTACAGCTACTGCAACAATAAGATCAATAAATTGGATTAAGTCTATAGTCTCTAATAGACTTTTCAGTCTACAAGAGCTAAACAACTTGAGGCCAGAATACCTCAAATCTTCCTTCTTGTATATAAATCTCAAGCTAGGAGTGAGCAACCTCTGAGTTATACATATGTGCCACTTCTGGAGGGATACAGAAGACTGGAAGGGATGGTTCCAAAATTGTCAGCTTATTTTTGAGGATTTAAGGATGGAAATGGGAGCAGGAGATATCTGTGATGTAAACCATTACTTTCTCAACCTTAAAACTATCTCTAAAACAGCCTGTAATACAACCATTTTGCTGCAGAATTTCAGTATGATGATCTTTAGATACTTAGGAGCCAGAAATGAGGTGCAGGATTATATGAAGTATGCCCACCTTATTTGAGCTCAGTGGGAACACCTGCCTTTCTAGCAAGCCATGATAAGGCTTCCAGGTGTTATTAGACTTCAGTTCCCATCAGTCCTATTGTTCATGCTGGTCATACCCATAAAAAACCCAGATCTTAGTGTTGTTGATGGCTGTATTACTTGCTTTTATGTAAACCACTTCATGAAATTACTAAAATGATCATAAAAACTTTAAATTAAATAATTAAATGGTTGGCAACGTTGTGGTAGAGCATATGATATAGAAAATCTATAAAGCGTAAAACTCATAAATTACAAATAGAAGAAAATATTCTTGACACTTCTCCAGATTTATTAGCCAAAATACAGGAGTAGAATACATCAAAGTATAAATTATTTAATCCTGTTCATTTCATTACTCTTCAGTCAGGTAATCTTTACCACGGTTATGCATTAAAAGTTGGCAAAGAGGTGAAAAGAATTATGGACAAGCATTTGATCCTTTCTGATTAATGGTGATAACAGCCTGATACTTAATGCACAAACCAGGATCACTTGTCAGGCCATATTATATCTTAATGATTAATAAATAGATAAAAATTGAAATTATTCACCAAATGAAAGACTTTTATACACATGGAATTATGGAATCCTTGGGATTCTCTGAGCTTGGTTCTTTTCTTGCAAACGTTTCATTACCCGGCTAGGTAACATCTTCAGTGCTAAAATGGGATGGAGTTTGGGGGTTCTCTGAGCTTGGTTCTTTTCTTGCAAACGTTTCATTACCCGGCTAGGTAACATCTTCAGTGCTAAAATGGGATGGAGTTTGGGGGTTCTCTGAGCTTGGTTCTTTTCTTGCAAACGTTTCATTACCCGGCTAGGTAACATCTTCAGTGCTAAAATGGGATGGAGTTTGCTCTCTATTTATGTGCTGTGGCCTGCCTTTCCGGTGCTGGTGAGGGTGGGGGTTTTGTTTTGCTCCTCTGGTAGTTCCTTGATTAGCGTATGTTCACTGCTTGATTGTGTGCCTGGTGGTAACCTTTGCTTACCTGGGTGATTGCTGGTGAGGCGATCTTCTGGTCTTTTGTCTCTTTTGAATGGTACGTAGATGCTGTTTATCTCTATGTGCTGTTTATCTCCATATCAGCAGTACTACACAACACACCTGACTTAACCAAATACACCCAGATCGAAATACCCAGAATCATGGACTGCATCAACCTCTGCCTAACCACCTATTTTCAGTTTGATGGACAAATATACCAACAAATCAGAGGTACACCCATGGGATCACCACTATCAGGACTCATAACAGAGATTGAAATG